CCAGGGGTAGGCACCTTGGGACCCCAACTGGGAAGGGCCCTACCAAATTGAAAAGGAAATTCGACCTTGCACCTACTGGATCAAATACATGGAGGGTAAGACTCAACCCATCCATGGAATATTGAACATCTCAGAATGTATTATCAATGAATGTAATCTGCTGCTGGAAGTGTTTTCCCAACCTTTGCAAATGAATAAAAGCTCCATTTAGAAATATGCCGTATACAAAAGCGTGGGCGCCTCGGAGGAGATGATGGAACCTTAAAAGAAGGCCACCTCATTCGGACTCCGAGGCGTACATCACAAGCCTCCCTTTGATGAAGTTGAACGTCAAAGGGAAAAGCATCTGCTTTGATGAACCATCCACCAAGCCAGAAAGCGTGGGCGCCTCGGAGGAGAGGATGGAACCTTAAAAGAAGGCCACCTTGTTCGGACTCCGATGCGTACATTACAAGCCTCCCTTTGATGAAGCTGAACGTCAAAAGGAGAAGCTTCTGCTTGGATGAACAATCCACCAAGCCGGGAAGCGTGGGCGCCTCGGAGGAGAGGATGGAACCTTAAAAGAAGGCCACCTCGTTCGGACTCCAAGGCGTACATCACAAGCCTCCCTTTGATGAAGCTGAATGTCAAAGTGAGAAACCTCTGCTTGGATAGATTCAAAATACAAAGCATATCAGAGTCGATAAAGTTGATGAAGGTTAATATTCAGTCTTGACTTCAGTTGATAAAGGTTAATATTCAGTCTTGACTTCAGTTGATAAAGGTGAATATTCAGTTTTTAGCTTAAGTTGGTTGGTTATCACATCGATTAAGTGGTTCAATTAGACGAGGCGTAAACAGTAGTAAAAAAAGAATTACACAAGTGAGGCAAAACCAATACAATCTTCATTCATTTCAAACAGAGAAATTACAAGATTAGAATATCATTACAACGAGGTCATACGCCTTAACAGAATTGAAATGAATTACAAAAACTTAAGATGAGCTAGGGGGTGGGGGAACTGGAGCATTAGAAGCAGGAGCCTCAGTGGTACTTCGGAGCATCAGAAGCAGGAGCCTCAGTTGGCACTTCTGCAGGCTCAGGCGCTTCAGTGGGTGTGTTGTCAGAATCAAGCTCCACCACTTCGCCTTCTTCAGCTAGCGTCTGAGGAACCTCCTCCTCAAGAAACTCAGCCTTCAGTTCGGAGACGTCCAGCCCCGGATGCACCTCCTCCAACCTCTCGAAAACCTCCTGGTATGCTACCCTGCTCCAATACATGCCGAAGTGGCGATACTCCACAGTGAGATGAAAATTGGCTATGTAGTTCTTCACTGTAATATCACCCGCCTCGATCATGTCAGCTTGATACTTCTTTACTTCGGCGGCATACCAGTCAAGCTCCTTTTCCATGAATTTGTTGGCATCCTTTGCCCCAGTCAGCTAAAGGTTTGCCTTCTCCAAAGCCTCGACAGTGACCTTTTAGTGGTTGTTAGAAGTTTCCACCTTCTTCGTTAGTTCAGCCACCTCACATTGGGCCTCGTGGACCTCCTTCTTCATCGCCTCTACCTCGGCCAGTGCGGACTCCAGCTTGGCCTCATTCTCATCAGATCTGACCCTTAGGTCAATGTTCATCTCTTTCTTTTGCTGGAGCTCCGCCTTCACTGCCTCCAACTCATCACGTGAGGCCCGGTTCCTTAATTGAATATATGCAAGGACCGTTTGGCACTCCAACGCCACACCAAAAGCCCTGGCGGTTTGACTCACCAAGGTGGCAGTGA